GTGATGTGGCTAAAGGCGAGCCCGGACGGCTACTTCCAAATGACGTTGAAGCGCTTCGAGGCAGCAGTGGGGCGATACACGACGCGCATAAATGCAATAGTCCTCTTCCTGCTCCTTTGCCTTATCCATCCTCGTTCTCTTCCTCGTGCAACATGTCGCCACTCTCCTCTTCCTCCAGACCATTTGCCGCACGTCAACAGTTCGAGCTGTTGAGAGTCACATGTTGGATGGTGTGGTGTCCAGGTTGATCCAGAAGTCTCGACATCCCTTCGTCTTGGTCACTTTCTAAGGCTTTACCCCATGGGGCTCAACGGGCCCAACTCAACTAGATTCTACCGCCTCGGCGCTCTTTGGTATTATCTCCAGCTTCCTGGGTCGGCGTGGGCGGACACAGCATGAGTGCTGCAGCCATGACCGAATCGAATCTAACGGCCAGAATGCGTGAGCACACTCTCACAGCGCATGGGCGAATCATGCGTGATGTGAGCAAGCACGCGTCCCACATTGACTACGTGATGTGCATCACGGCAGCCCTGTCATACGATGCTGGTGTGAGGCCTTTGTCTTCAATGTTATTGAACTCATGTCAGCCGGATATAGTCTCGCGATGTAAGGGAGACAACACTTACAAGGGCTGTGAATAGAGATGCAAAGTTGCCTCAAGTTGCCCGTCCAGGCACCGTTCCGACTCCAGGTTTGCAATCCAGTGTAGCGAGCGCTCAGAGGAACGTAGCCAGTCATATTGCAGGCGAATGGTTCGGTGACGGTCTGGAGGCCCTCAACTCTTACACCTCTGGCGCCTCCAGTGCTCGTGATACAAGCGTGGGTGATGTGATCTCGATGCCCAGTCTGCCGGACCCGAGGAGCATCCTTGGGTACACCAGTCGGACCTCAGTTCTGACTCCAGGTGGTTTGCTCGGCCGAACTCCTGAGCCCGCGCGCCTTCGGAGAAGTTTTCTGCGCCTTCGGGGCAGGCAGTACACTCCTCAGAAGGCCGGGAAACTTCCGGGCCTTTGAGAAGGCCCGCCCCTTCTCACTTCCCCCCGGGGCTCGTTCTTGAGTCAGGGACGCTAGATCTGGGCGCTCGGCCTGATACATCTGCAGAGAAGACCCCCCTGTCCCTGATGTTTCTGTTGGCCTCCCAACTCACGGTCGCCTCCCGAAAGTCGTCGGGGCGCTTCTGTTCTGCCGCTCGCCAGTGGGGGCCGCGCGCCCCGCGCCCCGCGCCTCGCGCAGCGCGACGCGCGCCGGGTGTTGCTAGCAGTGTCCCCGGGCCCAAGGTGCCTCCAGGATGCTCGGGGTGGCCCACGCGGCCTCAGGAGCATCCCCCACGAGGCCCAAGAGGGCAGGGAGGAGGGAGGAGGGAGGAGGGAGGAGGGAGGAGGGAGGAGGGAGGGAGGAGGAGGGAGGAGGAGGGAGGAGGAGGGAGGCTCGTGGGGCTCCAGGATGGAGCGAGAGGCTGGGGGCACATCGGACCCGGGGCGCTGCCTGCGGCACCCGAGCGCGCGGCGCGGCCGCGGCGGCCCTTGGGGTGCGGCAGCCCGCGGCAGCGCTCCTCGGCTCCTTCGGGGCTGAGCCTGGCGGCTGCAGCGGGACCGCCGGGCTCTGCGTGGTCGCTGCAACGTCGACGACGACGACGACGACGACGACGACGACGACGACGACGACGACGACGACGACGACGACGACGACGACGACGAGGGGCGATCGCACACCAGCAAGCGACGACGACGACGGCTGGAAGGGCTAGAAGGTCGGGCGGCTGCGGCGGCCCCCGCGGGGCCTCCTGCGATCTCGCAGGGCGAAGGGCCCCAAGCCCTTTGGAAGGCGATCTAAGTGAGGAGGCCAGATCTATCAGGGGCAAGGTGGTCTTTCTGCAGATGGGCCCAACCAAACCGCCCAGATCTCGGACCCCTAGTGCAAAGGCGGGGAGCTCAGTGAGGCCACGTCCAGGGGTTCCTTTATCCTCGATGATCCTGCTGGGCCCTCGCGAGGGGCCCTCCCGGCGTGCCTGCTGGGCAGTGCATCGCGAAAGATCGCGGCTGGAGCCCGAGGGCGTTGCGCAATGGGGGGCGATACACGGGTGGGTGGGTGAAGAAAGATGTTCCTTTTGTGTCCTCAAGAGGTCCTAAAGGGGTCCTAAAGGGCCCCCCAGGGGCCCAAAAGGGGCACGAAAGGTGGACGTTTCTCTCCCGTACTCGAGGCTGGGGCATTTGGGAGGTGCGTTTCTGGGTTCCATCGTCGCTTTCCTCTTCGGTTGTTTCTCCCTGTTATCTGTATGTTTGCCTTTGCTGCCGCTGATCCCCGCTCGTTATGGATCGCGGGAGTGTTCTGAGCACGCGGACCACCAAAAAAGGAATGCTTGTGTATACCGCCTCAAAAGGAATCCCTTTTGTAATCCCCCGTGCTCCAAGTATCGCCCCCTCCATGACATGAAGCAGCGCCCGACCTTTGGAACTCGCGGACGTTGGCGTCCGCACATGCCGTCCTTCTTTCGGAGGCGGGGATTCATCCATCAGCACCGCCGGTGGGATCGATTTTCGTGGACCTTCACAGGTGGTTGATGCTGATATGGCTTTGTTTTTGTCTATGCATTTGTATGTGTAGATGTATTTGTAAATGTATCGGTGTAGGTACATGCATATGTATCGTTACATGTGTGTACTTGTTTATGTACATGTAGATGGATGTGTTTGTGTAAATTTATAGATATGTGCACATCTATGTATACAAATATATGTATATATATATATATATACATATATGTATATAGAAGTGGCGGTGTAGTTATATGAATATAAATGAATACACGCAATTCCACAGTATCTGCATATGTAAACGTATCGGTATTCATAAGTGCGCAGATACGTTTATGCACATGTATATGTATATGGAGTTGTAGTTGTATCTGTCTACGTATATGTGAAAGTGTAAGTATGTGCGCATGTATGTGTACATGCGTCTGTACGTGTATAGGCATATGTATAAGGATATGTGTATGTACATGTGTGTGCATATGTATATGTACATGTACATGTATGTGTAGCTGTATATGTATAGGTATATCCATATGTATATGTATATGTATACGTATATGTATAGGTATGTGTATATGTATAGGTATATGTACATGTAATTGTCAGAGTGAAGGGGCCGAACGGTCATTCACTGTCCCTGGGTGCGTGGCTGAAGTGGAATTCCGCGGTGCGGATTCTCGTTGTTGTTGTTGTTTGTTGTTGTTGTTTGTTGTTGTTTGTTGTTGTTTGTTGTCGTCGTCCCATCCGCAACCCGCCCCGCGACCCACCCGCGACCCAACCCGCGACCCACCCCGCGACCCACCCGCGACCCACCCGCGACCCACCCGCGACCCACCCCGCGACCCACCCGCGACCCACCCGCGACCCACCCGCACCCCCGCGACCCACCCGCGACCCACCCGCGACCCACCCGCGACCCACCCGCGACCCACCCGCGACCCACCCCGCGACCCACCCGCGACCCACCTTCGACCCAAACCGCGTTCAAGGTACAAACCACCATTTTCGGCGCCTGCGGCGGGCTTTGTTGCATTCCTTCCAGGGGGAGAGCCCGCGACCCACCCCGTGACCAACTCGCGACCAACCCGCGACCCAAACCACGTTCAGGGTACAAACCACATTTTTCGGCGCCTGCGGCGGGCATCTTTTGTATTCGTTTCAGGTGGAGAGCCCGCGGCCCACCCGCGACCACGTTCAGTGTACAAACCAATTTTTTGGCGCCTGCGGCGGGCTGCTTTTGCATTCGTTCCCGGTGGAGAACCCGCGGCCCACCCGCGACCCAAACCACGCTCAGTGTACAAACCAATTGTTTTGGCGCCTGCGGCGGGCTGCTTTTGCATTCCTTCCAGGTGGAGGTGGAGAGCCAGCGACCCACCCGCGACCCAAACCACGTTCACTGAACAAACCAATGCCGCACAAGCGCGGCGGCGGATTTTTGCATGCCGTCTGAGCCCGCAAGGACCTCTTCAAGCCCCGCGCATCCACACCAGCCCGTCCAGCAACTTTGCCCTGGCGAGTTGCCTTGATCAGAGAAGTCGGGGAGCATAAAGTGGAAAAAAGGATTGCGTTGCAGTTATCTTGGGAAAGGAGGGGGAGGCAGGAGGAGTAAACAGGGGACGAGGAGAACGCGGAAGAAGAGAGGATGTAAGGAGAATGTGGAGAAAGAAAAGGAGGAGGAGCAGGAGGACGAGGAGGGGAGAGGGGAGGAGGAGGAGGAGGAGGAGGACGAGGAGGGGGAGGAGGATGATGATGATGATGATGATGATGATGATGATGATGATGATGATGATGATGATGATGATGGACGACAATGGGAGGACGATGATGGAGGCCGATGAGGGGGAGGACGACAATGGGAGGACGATGATGAAAGGACGAGGGGGGGAGAGGGAGGACGAGGAAGAAGAGGAGGAGGAGGACGAGGTGGAGGAGGAGGATGACGATGACGATGAGGACGAGGACGAGGAAGAGGAGGAGGAGGAGGAGGCGGAGGAGGAGGAGAGCGCCATGGTCCGCCGGCTCGACGACGCCCGCGTCGCCCGCGCCCGCCCCCTCACTCTTATCCGCAATTGCGGGGTGCTACGTAATTGTATATGTATATGTATATGTATATGTATATGTATATGTATATGTATATGTATATGTATATATGTATGTATATGTATATGTATATATGTATGTATATGTACATGTACATGTAGGTGTGTATGTTTGTGTATAGGCATGTCTACTTCTATATGTATTTGTGTATATATATATATGTTTATATACATATAACTATGGCTCCCAGGAAGCAACATGTGTCCATATCCGCCGCCAGTTGGGGCACCAGGACGTCGATCCCCAGGACCTGAGCATGCGACGTCCGGATTTGTTCCATACGGGGCCCCCAAGTTCCGACATTTCTTCCCCCAGGGCCGGCTGCTCATCACGAGCAGGTGTTCTTGGTCCCGCGGCCGGGCGAGGGCCCCCCTGAGGCCGAAGAGGGCCAAACAACCTCCCGTCGTGAGTTGTTTACGACGCGATCGTGTCTGCGATGTCGTCCTCCTCGGCTTGCGCCGCCGGAGCCCTGCGTCGTGGACCGCCCCCCCCCCCCCCGGAGAGGCGGACGGCATCGTGGGGCGGCTGCTCGAGCGCTGCCCCGGGGCCGCCGTGCCCGCAAAGCTGGCCTCCGACCAGGAGGGCGGGCGGGCGGCGGGGGAAGCAGGGTGCTCAGACCCCCTCGCGCCGTGAGCCCATCGCGACGGGAGTTTGGGCTACTTTCGGCCCGGGGCCCTCTTCGGGCCGGGCCTCGAGACCGGCGGAGAACGACTCGGGAGGAAACCGGTCCCGGGGCGGGGGTCCAGACTTCTGGGGGTCGACGCTGCGAAAAGATCACGACGTCGGGAGTCTGGGTGACGAGGTGGGGGGGGGCGGGGGGAGGGGGAGGGGAAGAAGAGGGGGGGGGAGAAGGGTCAGAGGAGGGCAGGTTGAGGCAACGGTAGTTGACCTTCGGGCGGCGCCCTCGTCGCCACGACTGGACGCAGCTCGAGAAACTTGTGCTTTTGGGTCCCGGGAGGGGTTCGGATACCCATTATGATCTGCAGTTGTCTCATGTTGCCTTGCTCCAAGAAGGCGAGTGGAAGGGGCAGAATGGGGAGGAGGAGGAGGAGGAGGATGCAGAGGAGGCGGAAGAGGAGGATGAGGATGATGGTAAGGAGGAGGACGAGGACGACGGAGAAGAGGAAGAGGAGGAATATATTGCCAAATTATGTTTTCTCTTGGGGGGGATGTGTGCGGGGGGCGTGGAGACGGGGGGGTATACGTAGAAGGCCCTTTAAATTTCGCGAAGGGATTTCGGATAGGGACGTGGAGGCGGAAGAGGGAGGTGTACCTCCTCCTCCTCCTCCTCCTCCTCCTCCTCCTCCTCCTCCCCCTCCTCCTCCTCCCCCTTTACGCTGGCGCTCTCACTGCTCCCTCGAACCTGGCTCGATAGGGCTGACTGGGAAAAGAAAACGAAATTATACATGTTGGAGCCGCGACCACCACTCCCCTTCGGGAAACGGGGACTCTAGGGGCCACGGTTTTGAGACGTGCTTCCCGCGGGGCCACGGCAGCTTCCCACCAAGAAGCTGCGCCCTCTGTTGCCTGAAGATTTTGGCGCACGGGGCCCCCAAGGCCCTGGCTGGGCCAGTGGTGTAGGCCCCGCACCGCAAACAGAAAACCACAGGCAAGCCAGATTCTATCACTTTACAAACATACAACTTGTAGGCGGGCTCAACCTCCAAATCTCTGATCTTTCTCAGAGCAGGTGTGAGGGCTGCGCACACACCCTTGGCTACTTTGGACCTGAAACCTTTCGCGCACCTGCTGCACCTCCACATGGAGCCGTTCCACAGGACAGCGTGAGAGCGCTTACTCGCAGACCTGGGCGGGGCCACCGAAAGCGCGACAGAGCGGTCCAATTTCCCAAACAGCTCTTGGGCCTTTGGGCATTCAGCTAAGATGTTTGCTACTCCTAGGGCTACATCACTCCAGCCAGAGGACATGACTTCATACCTGTAGATGTTCTCCAGCGTCATCGGATGGATCTTCGCCCCATCCTTGGCGAACTCATCAGCAAGATCATATCCTCTCTGGTGGCGAAGCATGATCCCTGAGAGCTCCTCAGTGGTGTGGGCCTTGACTTTTTCCAGCACCCATGTGGGATACGACTTCGCAAAAAGGGCCCGCCAAACTTCTGCCAGCGGAGTGTTGCCCGAGGTGGCCGAATATCTATCTTTGGCAGACATCAGGCTTTTGCAGTCCACATGAATCACGTACGGGCGGTCAATCTCCTCCCTCCCAGGGTCAACTCCTAGGTGGTTCAGAGCCTGAAGAAGCCCATAGCACTCTCCGAAAACGGCGCTCTGAGGAAGGAAACCAGGAACATTGCCATAAACCGCAGAAACAAATCCTCCTTCATCATTGACCGCCACCGCCGACCAACCTGCCCTGGCCACCTGCTCATACTTACCTCCATAGCACGATCCATCAGAATAGATGTGGACCGCCTTCGAAAAAAAACGAAACTCGGAAATCGGGCCCTCAGGCCCTGCGTATCTGACTTCCCCATCCCAGCTCGCGGGAACAATCCCATCTGGGCGAGGTAACCAAAGGTTCGTGCAGAAAGGATCCTCCTCCCCCGCTTCCAGTCCTGCCTCCACCCACTCTATCGGCATGTGCTCCTGCCTCAACTTCTCAAAGTGCGGGCACTGGAACACCCTGTGCCAGGCGCTGTCTAGCGCCTGCGGGTTCCTGCAGAAAGGACAAGTAGGCTCCACCTTATATCTCCAGCGGTGGAGATGCTGTGCCGTGACGAAGCTTCTAGTGAACACTTGCTTGACGACACGCCTGAGGTTTTTCCCCTTGGAGCCATTCCAAAACGCGCGGGGCGGATCCGTCCAGAGACCTCCCTCCAAAATATCCTGTGCTCTAGGGTGTTCACTAGAGCTTAGGTGCTTCTGCATACTCTCGGCCACCAACTCCTTACCTAGATCCTTGAAGAAGTAGTTAGATACCTGAACGTAGGGGATCTCCGTGGGCACACAAGGGGCCCCTGACCGCATAGTAAACATACCTGGTCCACGAATACTCCAAGACGCCTTGCCCATCCAGAGAAGCATATCCCCCACAGGCCCCCACGATCTTGTGTCCCAAGAAGCCAGTGCACGTCGGTCCTGGTACTCCCGAACCACGTTGAGGATCCGATGGGGCTCCCCTATGGTGAGGCAATCTCCAGGTCTATGCATACCATCAGAGGCCAGCCAGTACTCCTTAGCGTAGCGTGTCATAGTCGCACAGGCGTGCTTCAAAGGGTCTCGTTGTGGTTCGAGCGCGAAAGCCAAGTTGAGATCTGCTCCACAGCTCGAAAGTCCTAGCATGCCTGCCGCCTGCGTCCGCAGGCGTCGAATCTCTCGGGGGTTCCAGCCCACCACCTCTTCGCCGTAGGTAGTAGCAGGCTTGACCCCGCAAAACCATATCTTTGCCCTGGAGCGTTTCGGATTTTTCGAACTCATAATCTTATTGATCCTCCCCGAGTGCTTCATCCACCTCTCCCTCCTCTTCTGCTTCGCATGTTTGACGCTATTATGTTTGCCTGGGTTGAAATCCACGCCTAAATTGACCAGCGATACATCATACTGGCCAGCATACTGGGCGAGATTCAGCTTGGCAATGCGCACCAGATCCTCGCTGGTGCCTGTGATACAGAACTTCTTCATCGCGAAAGTCAGATTGAAGAGCTGAGAGAGGAGGTCTATCAGAGAAGGCAACGGCGGCTGCCAAGTTCCTGACGCACGAGATCATGTCTGCGCATCTCTCATTTAGGCTGAAATCATCAACATGGACCGCCAACTCCGTCGAAAACCCATGCTCCAGGAACCTGTTGATCGTGGGAATGCAATAAACCTTGATTTCAAAAGTAGCCGTACTGCTTCCTGCAACAATCCCCTGATGTGGTAAAATCCCCTGGGACACCACTCCATCTAAATTGAGTATCCGCTCCCACGCATACGTGTGCAGTGCAAACCTTAAAGTGTATAGCGGATACTGCCAATCAATCGCACTCTGTACAAGCTGGGGGTACTGCGCGTGCTCGTAGCACTGTGTGAGGTTTGCAAGAAGGCTGAGCACGTGCTCACGTTCTGCGGTCGCCAAGTCCCCTCGAACCTGCTGCCGCCACACTGTGTCAACCGGTGACCTGCCTGCCCTCATGCTGAACACTCCCCAATCCTTCAACTTGTGTTCCCATCTCTTACAATCGCTGGAATGCCACCTGGACACCATCCTCACCGCACTCTGGAAGAAACCGATCGGCCTCCTCCCCGAGACTGGCTTGCGAAAAAGGGCGAGGACCAGCTTCCTCATCCAGGTGGGCACCGTGCCCGCGACCGTCATAGCAGCCATAACCTGCTGGAAAACACATAGCGCCTCGTCGCAAAGCAGCATATAGTGTCGAGGATGGAACCATCCACAGCAATAGTGGCTCTCTTAAACGAACTGCTTAGGGCACGAATCTCCTCAATACTCGGGGGGTTCGGGATCACCATATCTTTCGGCCAAGTCACCTCCTTCTCCTCAATGGCATCCTCCCCCCAAGCTTTGCTCCACTTTAACTCCTCCTCCTCCAATTGACGAGTAAGACACGACGTGTGGTACCCATCATCAGTGGGGTGGAGGTCCTGTTTGCGATCACTTGCCACCTTTGTGTACGCATGCGCCCACTTGGCTCCACCAACGAGGGCCTCCGTGCACCAGTCGCTCCACTTGGCTGCCTTGTCCGACTTCTCTCGCGGCAGGTTCCGAGCGGCGACGTAATCTGCGAACTGCTGCAGGGCTTTGAAAGTGTGCACAATCACATCTAGAAACAGGATCTCGTAATGTACCCAAAAACATCCAAGAGCCGCCTTCAGTAGGCCCATCCAGGCCTCGCGTCCTCCAGGGTAGTGGTACCTGAAAACGCCTCCAGTCTCTGTTGCCCTATAGGTGGCCTTGAGGAGCTTTGTGAAGTAGTTAGCGTGAGTATAATATTTACCTGATTGCACCAAACTTGCGATTTCGTGGCATCTGCGTCCTAACCAGTGCAGCGCTCTATATGGGCTTCTCGTGGGGTTCCTCCGAGTACACAACAACTCCCCAAGAGGCACCTCCGAAGTATCATACGGCTGACCTCCTTTGAGACCTTCAGGAGTCTGTTGCAGGGTTCCCTCAAGTTCCCCCCACGCTTTCGAACACCAACTCCTATATACTTCGTCAAGTTCGCTCTGAAGTTGATCCACTTCCCCTCCCTGCGGTAACCGATATCCACCCTCGATCTTCATGGGCCTCAGGAGGTACTCAAGCCTGTCCTGCAGATCCTCATAGTCGGGCGCCAGCGGGGCGGGGCCTATGGGGGGGTCCACGGGCAGCTTCGCAAACTGAGTGATCCTCTGAACCCTGATGTCATCAACTCGAGTGTGAAAACGTACTGTAACAGGGCGGTGCGGGAAAATGTCCGTCTTCGTGTCCGTGCTGACATCCTGAATGGCATGTAGCGTCGGCTTGCTGACAATAAAGAAATCATAGCACTTGCCTGGCGTTGTATTGCAACAGGTGACCATCGGATCTGGAATCAGAATCTGGCCATTCCACTTGTGCGGAGCGAAGGCTTCACGGACCGGAGAC